GTTTTACGGCCTTGACCCTTACGCACAGCAAAGGTTCCAGATTCTCTGAATCTTTTGATGATGTTATGCACGGTTGATGATGATAACTTAAAAGTCTTTGCTATTTTACACTGGTAACACCATTCTGGTATTGCTGCACTATCTTTCTGCGCAACAATGGTGGAATTGGTGATCCTCTTACCATCTTGGCTTCTGAGAGACACTGACACTCTGAGAAGCTCTTTTATACCCAATCATGTTGTCAATTGACCTAATTAGTGTTAATTGGTCTTCCAGCTGTTCGTTATATGCTCAATTTCCTTTTGCCAGCCACTTATTGCTACTTGTCCCAACTTTTTTGGGATTTGTTGACACTGAAATTTTGAATCAACATATTTTTCCTTTAAAATGTTACATTTACTCCGATTAAACTTTTGATCTGTCATCTCTGTTATCATACAAATAAAATATTGACATTTGCCATCTCCACATCATTGCATTCAGTTTTTAGTCACAATTTGTTTAGTGTCCCAACTTTTTTGGAATCCGGTTTGTATGAATAATTGATCTTATAGTTTATCACTGAAGGCTTGCCATGTTTAACCAGGGTTGTAATGGCAGCTATATGTTATCTCTCACCCTCTTTTCTTTAGACTCACTGTCAGGCCTTCCAACTACAGTAGTTCACTTTTAACTGGATTGACTAGTAGGGAGCTGAGAACTCCGTCCGTCCGTCCATCCATCCATCCATCCATCCATCCATCCATCCATCATCTTTTACCCACTTCTTCCTTTTCTGGTTGCAGGGGTCACTGGTGCCCATATCCAGCAGTCATTACAAGAGGTGGGGGACACCTGGACAGGTTTCAAGTCCATCACAGGGACAAGCAACCATTCACTCTTTCACTCACACCTAGGGACAATTTAGAGCTACCAATTAGACTAACATGCATGTTTTTGGTCTGTGGGAGGAAACCTGAGCAGTCAGAGAAAACCAACACATGCGCGGAGAGAACATAAAAACTCCACCCAGAACAGTCAGCTGGGATTTGATCCGGCGACCTGAGACTGAGAGGCGTCAGCTCTACCAACTGAGCTCTACATTACCACCCTTAATGCAATAATCTCAGTATATTTTTTTTTATTAGTTGCACAAATCCAAGTTCTGATTTTATACCTTTTTTTACTCAAAGGGTGTAACTTGGGACTGAAAGAGTTAACTTTTCTACTACTGAGTGCAGCAGTGGCTCTCACAACCTTATTGGCCACATATCCTGATGTGCTGACTGGCTGTTAGAATACTGTGTCCCTCCCTTTATTTTAGTTTCCTAATATGAGTCAGATTGAGAATGACTTCCTGACTCTTACACTATGACACATCTGAAATCTTTTTTTGTTTCATCTCTGTTATACAACATAAATACTTTCAAATGCCCTCCTCTTCTTTCCATTTTGATCCCCAACTCACCTTTCTTTTCAGTAAGAGGAGTTGTGTTTTCACAAGTTGTTTTTCTCTCCACCCCACTCCCTCATCTCGCCCGCCCTCCCTTACCTCTCCTGCTGAAATGACTCTGTCTATTTTTACCCTCTGGTCCTCTGTAGTCCTAGCTTGTTCCACCCATTTTCCCTCTCTTTTCAACCATCCCTGTATGCTGTCTTGTTTTGTTAGTAACTTTGCAGGTGTTCTATCAGAAAATTGCACATTTCAGATTAGTGGTGGAAAATTACATAACTTGTTTATATGTTTCCAGTGATTTCAAAAGGAAAAGAGAGTTTGAAACTGTTTATAATTTATCTTCTTATTAGGTTTGTTTAAAAAAGGTGGTTGGATTTTCAGCGGATAGTTTTATATAAACCTATAAAAATCAAACACAAACACCCTGGACAAATATTAATGTTCAAAAAGTGCATTGCTATACTGATTCCATGATTTTGTCTCCATATGTATACATTCATGGTGACAGGTAAATATTAAAGGGCACTCTGGCGCCTCCCTGCATGGATGGTCTTTATAGGTATTAAAGTCAAAGCTGGGGATGTGTAATGGGGAGGGCTTGCCTTACACTTCTGTTAAGCTATTGGTTGGCCTAAATCTGAGTGTCGGCGTCTGATTGGCTGCCATACCCATCAGTCAATGTTTACTACGATTCCTCCACCAATGAAACGAGACTGGGGTGGGCTTCTGGAACGAAACACTAAAAACACGAATTTATGAAGCGTTATCCGAACCCTAGATAGTTCCCTCAATAGAGACATGAGGTGAATAATATTTACATTGTTTCGTTTTATCGTAAAAATAACCTCAGCTCGTGAGTTGAGATGAACTTGCTCTCGTAAAGCCGGGTAACATTTGCATATGACTGGCATTCCAGCGCACAGGCCAACCAATCCGATTTTGCGGGGGTCAGATGACAGACAGTTCTATTGGCCAATAAGCAAGTGGTTTGTTAGGAGGGCGGGACAAGGCTGGGCGAGGTTGACAGGATGAGAAGGGGGGGAGACGAATACGGGGGGCAAGCAGTCTAGTTTACAACAAGAGGAAGAGAGAGGGAAAAAAGAAAGAAAGGATTGCGAGAGAGAACGAGATTAAAATAAGGATGTAATCTCAGGCTGGGAGCCACAGAGATGCCATATGAGGACTTTTCTGGGCCAAAACAACAACCGTAAACGGAGCAGACGGAACGCGCGGATGTCGTCCTCACGAAGTGTTAGCTAACCTGCTGCAGATCGACGGATTTTCTCTTTAATCAAACGCCGCTTCTTCTTCCTCTAAAGCCCCCCTCGTCGACTTCGGATCGGCGTCTTTACCCCAGCCACTCGTTTGCTGCCTTTAAAAAACTTGACCGAGACGGACAGTAGGAGTAAGAAAAACACAGCAACTACAATTCACTCCCCCCTTTCTCCCCGCTGACTGGAGTCAGGAGTGTTCACCGTGGGCTGCTTTTATCGCCGTGTTGTAGTCTTTATCAGCCGTTATCTCGCCTGAGCTCTGTGGCCAGAGTGGCCAGGTAGGACACGAGCAGCTAATTGAAAGCAGAAAGAAGGAGCTCTAAGCTCTGGCTAAGACGAACATGTTAAGCGAAGAGCGGGCTTGAGAGCAGAGGGTGATGGATGAATGCACCATGTTTACGACATCTGCTAATGCGTGTGTGTTGGAATTAAACTAGAATGGTTAATTTTTCATACTTCGTATTGTCTGCTCGATTAATAACTTGGTTGAAACAGGTGCGTTCATAATTGCATTGAGTTGGTTACTGTGTAGTTCTGCACTTGTTAAATAGCTATTGTTGAATTATTTTGGCATTCACAACAGTTGGGACATGAGAACAATTGTATGATTTATTTATTTTTTTTTAGCTTCTGCCGGTGCACGACCAGGGGCGTTCCCGTGAGGTCGCTCCAATTCGGAGCGGTACACTCGAGGCTCCGGTTATTACGAGAAACTACAAATAAAGTGCTGTAGCTTCTTATTTGGATCAGCAGGCGTTAATAAAGGTCTCAAAGCGGTGAGACTGAGACATTAAGGCAGCGGAAACTTTTACAGACCAGCTTTTATCACCCTGGTTTTTGCTTGTTTCAGCGCTGTGGACCCCCACGGGTCCAGTCCTCCATCAACCCTTCAGCTGCTTTTATTCGGGGGGGCTTTATGAGCCTCCCAGACCCTACCGAGCCCACCTCCCGCTCCCTGCATTTAAAATGTAGCGCAGAGGTCGGTTTGACATGGCCCAGAAAGACTGCGTAGTTCCCGGGTGGATGTTTTAACCCAGGCCGTGGACGCGCTCGAGGCCTTGTTAACTCCTTCGTAACCAAGCTGCTCATGTAAACAAACGGAGAGGGCATCGAGGGTAATTAGACCAAAGGGAGGAGGAACGTTGTCTTCTGTCGTATTTATAATTCCAGGAGGTCGACTTTACACCGTTGAATCCATAAAGTTTTGTTGTTTGTTTTTACTGCAAGTACATTTTGTCCGCTGAATGTTGCTTCGTGTTCGTCGTGAGAGATTGCGGCACTCTGCGAAACGCAAAGATGGACTTGGTTCCTGATTTTTAAATGCAAACAGGACAGCCTTTCTGTGCCACATCTGTACAATCCTCCTCAATCCCGGGTTATGATGCAGATGTAATCGTGAAAGAATGAAAATGATACAGGCACAGCCGAGCACATGTCATCTGAGAGCTTCCCAGCAATATCAGCACCAAATTTTGCATTAAAGATGTTTCCCTACCAGGATTCCTTTACCTTAATTGAAGGAAGCTTTTAAACGTTTTTTTTTGTTTTTGTTTGGACACACGTCAAGGATTTCATCAACTATGTTCTCATCAGAGAACTCCCAGTATCTTCGCCAAGGATTAAGCATGTTTGGTTAGTACATGATGCATCCTTCTCTTTGTAGGACAGCTGCTGAGCACCCTTTTAACCAAGTCTGCACATATTCATCATTACTGTTCAGTTGTAGTATTATGCAACCCTGAAGTGTTTACCTGTTCTTAAAATAATTGTTTTTGTTGCTCATTGCTTTTGTGGAAAAGCTTTTATATTAGTTGTGTAATCTTTTATTCATTTATGTTTGTTCAGACTTGGAGTGTAACAGATTTTGTTCTCCGTCTTGCCTCTTATTTAGAAAATAGGACACTTTTGTATCCGCTCTTGTTGGAGTGATTTAACCATTTAAGTGTATGAAGGAGTGCTTTTGTAGCTGAACATATTTTTTCTAGTTCTAAAAGAAATGGCAATTTTTCACACAAAAACCAGATAAAAGGTTAAACAAAAATCCAGTAGTGGCCTGTTTCTGTGTTGCTCGCATCCAAAATATGATGATGCCTTTTCAATCTAATTTGAAGGTATTATCAGAGTGGGTCATTTGATTAGGAATGCAACACAAGTATGGGTGCTGTACTAAGAGCTGCGCAACATGCCAAATAAGAAAACAGCAGCTTCATCTGAAAGTTCTTTGTTCAGCTCATTGAATGAAGTGATAGACCTAATGTGATGTGATTAAATACTTGTGTTTTTCTCTGTAGTGTGGACCAATGTGGAGCCCCGATCAGTTCCAGTCTTCCCTTGGCATTCATTGGTTCCTTTTCTGGCTCCCACCCAATCAGATGCTCCTTCTCTGCCAGGAGAGGGTCAGCATCCAGTCAACCACCCTCAAGCAGCCACTCTAAAGACAGGTATCTTTGTGGTGAAACAAATGTTATTAACACTTTATTATCACCAGTTTTGTAAAAGTAAAATAAAAAATCCCAGGATGTTAACTCAGCATCATTATTGTGCCGTTTACTTTGCTCAAATGTTGTTTCCTCAGACGGTCAGGGGGTGGCAGCGCTGTCACAGGAGGCTGCAGAGGCACCTCTCATCATAGAGAGAGGCCCCCCATCCCGGCCTCCCCCTTCCTGTGATGAGCCACTTCCAGAGAAGGAGAAAGGAGATGCAGAGAGGGAGAAACCAGACAGCGAAACAGAGAGCGATGTGGATGACCTGTAAGAGCAGTTCTGTTTTGTTTCATTTGGATTTTGCTGGTGAATACAGTTAAATGAACACAAGAATAATCAAACGACACATGAAAGAAAAATAAACATTATTGTCCGTTTAATATAACGTGTCCAACCCAGCCTTCACAGTATTTTTTCTTGGTGGTGCAGTGTACCCACACATGAGTGAGATAGTGTGATATTTTGTGTATTTTTGCTCTAATTTGGGTGAAAGGGATGAATGCCAGAACAAAGCAGATAGAAACAAAAGCGTTTTGTCTCTGATCTCAATAACATTATGTAAAGCAGTGGCCAGGCTGTCAGCCTCTGAAATAGATAAGCTGTGTGCTGAATATGCTCATGCACCTCATGGAAAATGAACGACTTGCAGCTATAAGGTAAATAGAACCTGGTATAAAGTGCAGACCTAATCCTTTTTTAAGTTGTAAACGCAAGTGTATGTAATTACTGCCACCAGGAACATATTTGGTAAAAAATAACTAAGTACTAAGAATAAATGTTTATATAATTTTTTGATGTTTTCTTTTTTTTTGTCTTTCAGCTTTCTCCCAGGAGTTGTAGCAGAACAGCCCCTCTCCACATCTCCAGTAAAGAGACGTACTCAGTCTCTCAGTGCACTTCCCAAAGATGGAGACAAGAACAGCCCAGGAAAGGTAGTATTTAATTCTCAGTTATCAGTGCAATTTTCACTTAAATAGATAATCAAATGTCTGTATGCTTTTATTGCTCACTCTTTTAGAGGGAGAAGGACCACATCCGGCGGCCAATGAATGCATTTATGATTTTCAGCAAGCGTCATCGCGCATTAGTGCATCAGCGGCACCCAAACCAGGACAACAGGACAGTCAGCAAAATTCTTGGGGAGTGGTGGTATGCTCTGGGGCCTAAAGAGAAACAGAAGTACCATGACTTGGCCTTCCAGGTGCACAGCTGAATGTGGAAACAGAAAATTGCAAATATTTCAATAACTGAGGTACATTAACGAATATAGTATGTTCTTTTGTTTCTAGGTTAAAGAGGCCCACTTTAAAGCCCACCCAGACTGGAAATGGTGCAACAAAGACAGGAAGAAGTCCAGCTCTGAAGGTCGTGGAGTCCCAGGGACCAAAGATATCAGAGAGAGGAGCATGTCTGAAACTACAGGTTGGTTTTACCAGTACTTCTGTCTCACTCTCTTTCTTCTCTTTCTCTATCCATGTACTCATAAGCAGCGTATTTATGGTCTTTAAATGCCATAATTGTACCTTTCTCATAGAGCCCCATTCTGTGGATCTGAAAGCTGTTGGTCCAGGCCAGATGGGTGTGTCTGAGAGGAGTACAGGAGAGGGGTCCGTGAGCCAGCTTACTCGCCCCAGAGCCTTTTCTCAAAGTGCCATGCACAGCCTAGAGCGAGGCGACAGGGGGAACACACAGGCTCTGGTAGAACTGGCACAGGTAAAAGAGGAAAACTGCCACAAATGAGAATTTTTGTTTCTGTGACTTCATTTAAATCAAAGCTTTTTGTTTATCAGTTTTTTTTTATCACAAACATGGCAGTTGACAATATGCATTTTCTGTCATGAAATGATGTCTGTCACATACAAACACATGCCATTGTATGTAGTATACAGATAACACAACTGTGGTTTACATAAATAAGATAAAACTTTTGATGAACCACGTGTCTTTGTTTTTGCAGATGTGTGGGGATGGTGGCAGTCAGTTTTCGAGTCACGCTCCTACACCTTCTCAGACACAGCGCGGGGTTAGCGAGGATATGACCAGCGATGAGGAGCGTATGGTCATCTGTGAGGAAGAAGGAGATGATGATGTCATTGGTGAGAAACCAACAATTCTTTATTTTTTAGGCCCTTTTAGAAAAGCATCAGGAGGGCATCCATTCACTGCTTCCTGTGTCACTGATGCTTTTTACAAATAGAAATAGTGCAGAAATCTAATTAAACTCTGTTTTTGACCTCTACTATATAATAATATAATTTAAACACTAGAGAAGAAAGGTGTGAAAATTAATTCCTATTAGCCTGTGACTTTTTAATTAGATCAGCAGTCTGTGACAGTTACAATGTCTCTGGCTGGGTAACAAAGAAAACCTGCAGTACTTTTTACTTTTTGTTTGTTGTTCCATTCCAACTTTTTTTTAAATTCTGTTTATCTTTGTTTTTTTTCTGCCAATCATACATTTCTTGTTTTTTATTGTAGTTATGTTTTGTTAAATTATCTTTTTTCTTTAAAAAATATTTTCAGTAGCACTTGTCTTTGAAAGTTGCAAATAAAGTGGAGTTGTAAAATTCACGTTGGCCAACTGTACTGCTGCAGAAATTACAATGAAGTTTTGACCAATTGACATTTTCTGTTTGAACAAACAAAACCAGTAATGATAGCAGAACATGTTGTACAGTATAAGTTCTGAGTTTTAATGAGCCCATCTATAAGGATTTCAAATTTTAGTGAAAGTCAAGTGTAGCTGTAGTGTATTTTGCTTTTCCACAGAGGACCCTTATCCCAGCAGCTCCATAGATCTCAAGTGTAAGGAGCGGGTGACTGACAGCGACAGTGAGAATGCTTCAGGGGATGAAGGAGATCGAAAGGTATACCAGAAGTCATTTCCAGTTTAGCTTACTTGTGTTGATTGGCCTTTTTTAATTTAAATGCCCTTTAACATCTGTATTTCCTCCTTTTCAGAGAGTATTTACTCCAGTTATCTGCTCTTCTGCATCATCGTCTTCCTCACACCACACTCCTCATGGCAGGAGTGTCTCACTATCATCTTTCCCCAGCAGTAGGCGTTATGATGAGGGGCGATCTGGAGGGGGGGGGCTTTCAGACCACCGAAGGAAGGAAAGAGGTGATGGAGAGAGTAGGGACACTCATCTAGGTGAGGGAGGTGGAAGTGTGCTGGCCTCTTCTCTCTCCATCTCATCTAGTCAACCAGTCATGCCCACTTCTGCAGCTGGAGGGGCTCCGTCCTTGTCTGTAGGAGCAAACCAGCTCCTGGGCGTTGGCACGGTGAGGGTGGCCTCCACGGTGGTGACTAATGTAATGCGTCCAATTATCAGCACACCACTCCCCATCGCCAGCAAACCTAGAGATGGAGGCCCTTCATCCAGCCCTCATCCTCCAGAGAGGAAGACCCTGACTCCCCAGCAGCAGCCACAGCTTCTGTTTGGTCCAGGAGCAGGAGGTGGGGCTGCAGCCACAGGGGGTGGGTACTACCCTTCATCGTCACCAAATCCTGTAGGTGCAGGTGTGGGCCAAGGTGGTGTAGTGACTAATTTAGTGTTACCAGGGGCTCTGCCTGCACAGTCTGCTGTACAGCTCATCTCCCCTTCCCCCCAGCCTCAACCATCCAATCAGCAGGCACTTCCCTCCAATGTTGTTTCAGCTCCACATAGTCACACCAATGGACCCCTGCCCCTGCTTCAGCCCCAGTTCCTTCCTGCCTCCTCCCTGGCAACCCCTGTTGGTAAAGCCATCACACAGGTTCAGTACATTCTACCCACCCTACCTGCCAACTCCAAGAGTCCACCTCAGAGCCTAAGCCAGCCAACCAGTATCTTCAACCTGCCCACAGCACTGCCAACACAACTGGCCAATGGAAAACATCATGGGACGGGTTTACCCACAGGATATGCGTCCAGCCCAGCGATGAGCGTGGTCAGTCCTGGAACCAGAGGTGAAAGTTTAGCCAGAACCAACATTTAGACATATTCTGGGATCACACCTAATCAGATGCTCACTCGCTCTGTTTGTCTGTTTTTACACCAGTTCAAACTCAGTCTCCAGTGCTGCAAGGTAAAATGCTTGTTTCCATGCCAACAGTACGGACTGCAGCAGCCCCTGCCCAGCAGTTTCCTATTGTGGCTCCATCTCTTCCTGTCCAGAATGGTGCTCAGTCTGGAAGCAAGGTCACAGGGCACTTTATTAAACTTCACTTTTGTAGTGAAATCAGTCACATGTAGAAGAAGTGTGGTCTCATCTGCCTGCTTATGTTGCCAATGACAGATTTGTATTATTTGTTTTTCTAGATCTTCCAGATTGCTCCCATGCCCATGGTCCAGTCCCAGCTGCCTCAAGGTGGAGCAGTGCATCCTTCCAGCCCCTTCCCTGTAACGGTGGGCACAGCTGCTGTAGTAGCTCCAGGATCAGCCCCTTCACAGACTGTACTTCTGCCTTCAGCACCCACCAGGTATGAAATAACAAGCAGATGCACGCCTCTGATGTCCCCTCACAAATTACATAGAGCGCCATAAGAGCACTTGGTTATGAAGTAGCTTTGTGTAACTTAGTGGCTTTAGTCTGCACTAAGGTATTTTTGGAATGAAAGTGAAGAATGCAGACTCCTTTTTTTTAGTTATTAATAATAATTCTAGATTGTTTCTATTTTCTATAAATATTTGCCTATAATTTTTATTTTAATTTGATCGTTATCTTTCTCATATTCACTAATTCAATGTACTGACCTCTTAACACTTTGTTGTACTTGTATGTTGGTACTTGAATCACTTCTATACAATAGATGCTGGCCTCATAAAACAGTTCAAGACATATTTTGTTCACAAACTGTTCAAATAATATCGTCTCAAAGAATAATGGTGAATGAGCCAAATTTGGAAAAGAAGTGTGAAAACCTTTTTGTTTTTGTCGTCATGGAGAATTTATTTTTATCGAGATGTCCTAGGCAACAAAGGATAAATATGTCTATTAAAAATTGCAATTAATCTATAAGTTGGTTAATTTGAATTCATACAATTCCATTCTAATGAAAGTATGTAGTTAATGTCATTTTTAACTGGCAGCTTAAACTTGATCTGGTTTAAACCTAACAGGGAATAGATGAGGCAACATTAGTTTCAGCTACAAGATTTTTGATTCCAACCTTTGGATTAAATTTATGACGGCTACTACTGTGGTTATGACGAGGTGACAAAAGTGCTTCTAGCGCTGTAAAATAATCTGCAAGCAGCAAGAGTAAATTTTAAAAAGCAAAACAATGTTTCACCTTTTCACAAGAATTTCCAAATTACTGCTGTTCTTTTGTTACTCTTTGTCCTGGTGAGGAGCAAAAACACTCTTTTATTTTTATTTTTTTCTTGTGTTCAGATCCGTAAGACTCATTTTTATGTTAACGTGAAATATTGAATACTGAAGTTTAGGAGAGAGGAATGAGCTTTATAAAAATAAAAAAAAAAGGATGACAGTGTGGCAGATTTACACATGTGCTTTTCCTAAAACCTTTTCTTCTAAATAAATTACTGCCGTCATTGAATGGGAAAAGACTAGATTCTTGGGATTTTATTCAGAATCACTAGTGACCCTAATTTAACCTCATTTTAGACTTTTTTTTTTAAGGAAATCTTTTTGGAATAAATAATTGAGCGTGTAGAGGAGTTTGTTGTGACAGTTTTGCTTATCGTACAGATTATAAAAGTTTTATTCAATTCTAGACCATAAAGTTTGTTTCCAAATGGGCAATATTTTTACCAAATGTCATTTCAAACAAGATTGATTTATTCCAAGTGCACTCTTCCCTGATTAATATTATAATAACAGTTTTTAACAGGTTTTAAAATGTTTTCAAAATAACTTTGTCTTTTACCGATGAGCAGCTTAAACCTGAAATCGCTGTGGGATAAATGATGCTTGATATCAGAAGGTTGTGTTTCTGATAGCAGGACAGGCTACAATTCTTACAGTGCAAGAAGCTCAATTCCTGTTGGGGTGCAACTGTAACGGTGCAGCTCTATTCTGGATGTGTTAGTCATCCTGCTGGTGGCCTGAGTTGCCTCTGCCTGCCCACCCCCACACTACCTCTCAGCTCCTCACACAGCACTAGTCATCTGCTGCTAGTTGCTGAGGTTTACGCTCATCGACTGACCCTCACTGCAGCGCTTCTCTTTTTGTCTTCCTCTTTTGGTCTAAGCACATCTCTGTTCCTCACATTCTAGGTCTGCCTCACTGTTGTACTGAAATACCATCTGCAACGTCGCCTCGGAAGTTATTTTTACTACAAGTGTTATCTTCTCTGCTGGGTTCTATTTTGCCTTTGCCTTGAATGTCATTTGTTGTATTTCAGTTTGTCTGATCGCTCCTCCTGTTTTTGGACAGAATCACCTATGTCCAGTCCACTCCGGGGCTCCCATCCACCCTGCCCCTGGTCTCAACAACAACAGGCTCGTCCCCCACCCAGCAGGCTCTACCAGTGCCTGGATCCGCATTTGTTCCCTCACCCTTGGCAACACTCGGCTTTACAGCCATCGCACCACCTGGGCAGACACTGGTTCAGCCGCTGATTGCAGGTTAGTGGAGAGAAAAGGTCAAAACTTCTGTTTTTCATGTTTCCGTTTCCAAACTGAACTGCACCAAAGCAAATGGCAGCTCACCTGTCAAATCATACTTTTATACTAGGGGTGTTTTCACTCATGCAGCGTTTACGCCATTTGAATTGAACTCTGTTTTTTTTGTGTAAATGTAAACGCAGTAATCCCATTCGGGTATGGACAAAAATAGTCGTTCATGGTGCAGCTCCAAATGAACTCCAGAACAGTTTCGTTATAGTGTGAACATGATTCAGCCTTGATCCACCACAACTACCAGTCTGAGCCAAACTCCTTCTGTAGTTAGGCATGCTTTGCATTCTGGGATGTGATGATGTCAACAAACTTGAAAGACTTTTAACAATTCAACTTTATTACCCAGATAAATACTAACAGGAGTAAACTCTCCATGTTGTTGACTAACTCAGGACACAGAACCATCTTACTGCAGTGTTTCCCCTACCATTATACAAGCAGGGCGCCCTGCCCTGTCAACAGAACCAAGTGCCCTGCCTACTGAACCCACCCCCACCCCATCGACAAAAATCATAAAAGATGAGCGCCCTGCTAAGGCAAGTAAAATAGGGGAAACACTGTCCTGTATTTACTTTTGGTACTCCTGCACCAGACACATGTAACCAGTGCGCAGGCTGAATGTTTTCACATACTGTAGTTTGTAGCGACACATTTTGGTTCACATGCAGTTTTCTCTGTGAAAAGAAACCAAACTAAAAGGAAAAGCTACAAGTTTTACTACTCATCAATTGATATAGACCAGAATAAATGAACTACAGGTGTGAAAATGCCCCCAAACTTCACACAGCTCTTTTTTTTTTTTTTTTTTTCACTTTAAATTTTGTAATTAATTCTTAAGAGTGCAGTGGAAACATGGGAATCTGACCTGATTGTTCTCCACAATATAAGGTTGTATATATTTATACAAAAAGTGTTGTTGCCACCAAAAGATATGCCCCTCTCATGGCTTCAAATCTGCCATAACTTGGTTTAAGTAGTCAAGAGTTTTAAACTACTTTTAAAGTATTTTTACACCAGAAACAAAGCTCAGTTTGGTCTGAATAAAGACCACTTTTTTTTTTTTTTTTTGCTGTGGAAAAAAGTTTTCTGGTTTGGAAAACTTTAAATTTAGGATGAGCCTAAAAACAAAGTTCAAACCAAACAAGATATGGAACAAAGATGATGAAAGATGAGCGTTTGAGCTGTTGATGGATGAATTTAATCACATTAAGCGTGTATACTTTTCAGTACAGTATGTGTTTTACTTTGCACATGTTCATAGGTAAACCATAAAAAAGTCATAGTGCATCACATGATGTTCACATTGCACACGCCTAACTGTTTCTGAACACTCATAAGAAAGAGAGGAGCTTGTTTGAAGAAGTGGAGGTGAAGAAGTGACACTGGACATTTTTCATGTGGACCTTTTAATGAATGATCACTCCTGTCTCTTTTATCCAGGTCAGCCTCCGCTCTTAGCCACAGCTCAGTCCCCCCAGCCCTCCACTTCAGCCTCCACCTCAGGTTCCGGGGGCCAGATAGTCACTGCCATCTACCCTCCTTCACCAAGTGTCACCATGGCAACAGGGGTGGTCTCTATGGCAGCAGTGCCCCCCAGTGTGGTCTACTCCGTCTCTAGCCCTGCAAGCACTTCTCCTCATATCTTGCCTAAACACACAACAACCCCTACAGGCGTCACGCTCCCACATCCGCAGCCCCATCCTGACAGACAAGTGGACAGACACCCGCCTCCAGACAGGCCTACGGATCGATCAAAGGACAGGCCGAGCGACAGACAGGCAGAGGTCCTCACACATTCAGACAGACAGACTGAGAGGCTAACTACAATCTCCATCAGCAGCAGCTCAGCAGCACCGTCTGGTGGCTCAGCTGTGTCCATCAGACCCTGCAGTCCTCCCATTCATATCCAACCACCTGGTATGACTTATTGTGGTTTTCTTACACAAATTAAATTGGAAATTTTTGAATTTGTTGTGTTTTATTTTTGCCGACTGCTTATTAGATTTGTTTCCCTAATTTTCAGGCAGTGCACATAAGTTATCACAGCTTCCAGTCAGGATCCCGCAGAAAGTGAAGGCAACGGTGGCAACCATTCCTGTAGGCAGCTATGATGGAGGAGGCCGAGGCAAGGAAAGGGAGCGAGACAAAGACAAGGAAAGGGACAGAGAGCGAGAACGTGAAAAAGATAAGGAGAGGGAATCTGCAGCAAACAGCCATTTCTCTTTTGATCCTGAACCTTTAGTGCAGACAGAGTCTCCATCAGCACATCCAGCCGAGGAGCTGCCGTCCTCTGACAGACAGCTGGAGGGCTCCAGTACTGCAGACTCCTCTGACACCAGGAGCAGGGACAGCACAACATCCAAAGAGGTGAGCGGAGCATCACTCCCTGCAACACCACAACCCAGCTGGTGTACATACACAGACGAGCCGCGCTCTCGTATAAACTACATGCACTGATCTTTTCCTGCAGGGTGGGTGGAGGGAGTCTCTCCCATCCTCTCCTCTCCCCCCTCCGTCAGGCACAGAACCTGCTCTGCCACCCCCACAGTCTGACAAAGACTGCCCTACACCCAAAAGGATCAAAGCCCGCCCACCACCACTGAAGAAGACTTTTGACTCTGTTGACAAGTGAGTCAGTGCCTCCGTGAATACTTAGTGTAGAGCATATCGTTGGGCGGTGTGTATATACTCTGTGTTCTGTGTGCATCTGTTGGACTGGCAGGGTTCTTTCAGAGGTATATTTTGAGGAACGATTTGCCGAGCTGCCGGAGTTTCGACCTGAAGAGGTTTTGCCCTCCCCCACCCTGCAGAGTCTGGCCACATCGCCTCGTGCCATCCTGGGCAGCTATCGTCGCAAGAGGAAGAATTCAACAGGTCTCATCATACTAATTTAACTTTTTTATTTTTTAATATGTTTAAAATAAAAGGTTTTGTTTTTTTGTTGTTGTTGCTAATCATTATTGGTATGTTTGTCTTAAAT